GTTAAACTTCTGAATTACAATGTGGAAATTCAAGCAAGAAGTCAGGAAGACCTGACTGGCCCCTGCTTAGGAATGTGTCTCTGCAAAATTTGCTAATTTTCTCTTGCTCAGGAAATTATTATTTCTTTGCTAACAAGGAATCTGAGAGGAGAACCAAGAGGGATTTCCACTGTGCTAAGCCTTACTGGCAACCAGAAAAAAAAATACATAAACTCCTCAGAATTATAACTATGTTTAAGGAAAACAGCATCTCTGTCTGACAAGGCAGGTCTGATCAACTCATCAACAAGGACAATTTCCAAGCTGCCAAAACTAGTTTAGGAGTCTGCTAGAAAGTCAGGAGCAACCAGTGAAGGAAAATCATCAATGCATTACCATGTGGGTTCTGTGACTGAAACTCCAAGAGGGCAAAAGTATAAGGAGGTGGGGCACAATATTTAGGGACTAAAAAATGCAGGAGCAGGGGGAGAGAAGAAAAGGATCCATTAACATAAAACTCATGGCAAAAGAAGACTGTACTTTTATAAAAGAAAAAACACATTTATGCTCTGAGTGTAGTATTTGTCTGAATCTAAACGATACAGGAAATGTTACACATCTCCTAAGGCAGGAGTCACTGATATCCTGCACCTTGTGGAGTCACTTCCACCATTCTGGCTTGGTAGCATTTTATACTCACTTTGCAACTAGTGTAAATGACTCCACAAGGTGCAGGGCAACAGTAAATAAGGCCCCCAGAGTTTATTCATTAATGGACCAATCCTTCAAACTTACTGTTGCACTAGTGCTTAGAATCATGTATATGGAAATTTCAAACCTGGAGTAAAGTTGATGGGTGAAATCCTGGCCCATTTAAGTCAATGGGAGTGTTGCCACTGACTTCAATGGGGCCAGGATTTTACCTAATTTTCTGATAAAATGATCCAAAAGAAATGTCACTGTCTTACACCAAATACTAACAATATTAATATTGTTATACTTGGGGCTATACAAGACACAAAGTGAAGCCAGCCCCAGCCCCGAAGGTTGAGACTCTGGTCGACAAAAAGAGAGAAGCTTTGATACACTGAGAAAGCCACAGGGACAATTAGTTTAGAGAGCATGTTTTTAAGTTTGGTATGGATAATTTCTTGCAGGGGTGATAGAAGGCATTTTCAAAAATCCCCACAGAATCTGATATTTTATGAACATTGTTTTCAGTTGTAATATTCATTTTTCATTACACTAACATAATTCTTTTACTTTACAGTTGGATCCACAGCCTTAAATACACATAGTTGTGCATATTGATTAGAATTATTACACGCATTTCAAATGCTTGCTTCTCTCCAAAAGCTGTTTTACTAAACCTCCCATTTTTATCCAGCTAAAACGCCTTTGTGAATAGCCAGCCTAGACAGTTTTTCAAAAATGTCTCGTGTCATATTGCACGTTACACAACTGAACATCTGAGAGCTACCTAAAAATATCTGAAAGCTACCAACCAAACACTCCAGTGGACAACCAGATTGCTCCTGAAATTTAGAAAGTCCAGAAATTCACTACCCCAACAACATTTTGCTGGTAGCTAAGGCATCTTTTCCTTCAGATATGAACATCACTTTGAGTTACAATGCTGACATAGTAGTATTAATTTGTAATGTTACATTTTCTGATTAAAAACAACATGTACTATTAGACACCAATCCGCAAAGTGATGCATACAGGTGGATCCTAAAGCCCTCACAAACCCCACTGAATTCACTGGGGTTCTGCCTGGGTGCAACGTTCCATCTGCATGTATCTTTTTGCATGATGTTTATGCGGTGTTCACAAATATGATGGAAAGCCATAAAGTGCTAACAATTTATAAGGTAGATCATAACAGTTTATAGAAGCTGATACCCATAATGAATTTGAACAAAAGATTGGAAATTTGTGGGAGATTTTTAGCAGTTAAGTAATGATGAGGCTCAGTTGAATAGTGGAGACCCTTAGAGAATTCACCTTTAATCTTTATTTGTACTATATCAAGTATAAAATGCCATATGTTGTCAATTGATTACAGTTTTGACTTTGTCTGCAAATTGTTGGATGATATTGTTTTTTACTGGTTTCTAAATTAAATCCGAATTACATAAAAAAGATAGTGTAGGCAACAAACCATCTTAGATACGGGATGGCTTACATTTCCAAATACATCTTTTCCATCTCTAATTTCTAAGATCTTAAGTAAGTGCAACAAGACAATTCACATTAAATAGCATATGTATTAAGTATTGAATAGGGCCAGATTTGCCACTCTTAAAAAGTAACAATGATTACAATATAATTAAGTTCATCTTTCTCCATGGAGGTATTGTGCCAACAACTTTCACTGTTACATTACATTTTAGACAAGGATTTCAGAAAAAATGAGGTAGCTCTTCAAAAAGATTAAGTCAAAGGCAAGGAAATTAAAATATTTACACTCCATAAAGTGGAACCTGGAAATTAGCAGAACTAAGAAGACTAGGAAAAACAGATAGCCGAAGACATAAAAGAAATAACATTTCTATTATTGTGTCAGAAGGAGGAAACTTGCAAAGGAATAACTGCATCTGCTGGAGCACCATGGATTCAAGGGAGTAATTGAGGAAGATAAGGCCATTGAAGACAAACTAAATGATTTCTTTTCATCACTCTTTTCCACAGAGGACGTTGAGGAAATACCTACTCCAGTTCTGTGCTCTTTCCTACTAAAAACAATGAGATTGTCAGACTGAGTTGATAATAAATGAGGCAAACACACTTAAAAAGCAACAGGTCACCAGAGGTGAAATCTTGGCCCCACTGATGTCAATAGGAGTTTTTCCAGGGACTTCAATACAGCCAGGATTTCATCCTAGGACTGACTGGTATAAATCCAGGAATTCCAAAGAAACAAACATGAAGGGACTGAGCTGGGTGTCATTGTGATCAGCCCAACGTGTAGTAGTGATCAAAACAACAAACAAAATGGTATGCTATTTAATGAATGGGATCGAAATAACATAAGACATTATACTAGTACATGAACAGCTTAGTGAAGAAGTGAATAAAAGGTCACATTACAGAGGTATATAGATTAATTAATGGACTAGAGAAAGTAAATAGGATGTTCCTAGTTAATTTTTCCCATAACATAAGAACAAGCAGGCGTTTAATGAAATTCAATGCTACCCAATTTAAAACTATAACAGGAAACATTTATTATACAAACCCTAAAACTGGAATTAAGTATCACAATACCTTTGAGTCCAGAGGTTTAGTATGATCCCCAAAATAACTAGACATTAATGAGAATATCCACAGGTATAATAAACAGGACAAAAACTTTTTTGTTAGGAAAGGATATAGCTCCTAATACTCTGGGCCACAAGGTGGCTTCTTATTGAGGAGATTGGGAAGAAAGTTCTCATATGAGTAGGTTTTCATAATTGTCCATGACACTGTATTTTCTATCTTCCAGAGAAGCATCTAATATTGGTGAATGTCAGAAAGAATACAGCAGTGAACTAGGTAGACCACTGGTCTGCTGTGTTATGGCAAGTCCTCTGTTCCTGTACATAGTGTATAGAATGTATTATACACTGTGAAAAATAATACCATTTAGAATGAGAATGCATTCTCACTTATATTTATGTAAGGGTAGAAGTAACATGGCAAGGTGCTTAAATACCCTCAGAACAATCCATTGATTGGTCACTGTGTAATGCTTGGAGGCATACAGGAAGGGCATCAGTGGCACATTTTTAGAGCATATCTGCTGGATGATCCACAGAGAAGCATTTGTTTTAATTTCTGAGTGAGACATTTTCTCATCTTCCTACAACCAGGGGAAGTGTAGCAGCATCAGCTATTATGGAAGGATAAAATGTTTTGAGACAGAAATAGTTAAAGGAACTGTGCCCTTCACAAAAAAATGCGGTGGAAGAAACCCAAGCCTTCTATCTCAGATTCAAGGGACAGCCCTCAAACCAGGACCTTAATAAACCGATGTTATAATGTTTAGTTTTCAGCCAATATTTTCAAAAGTGAATAGTGATTTTGAGAGTCACAGTTTTTGGTTGTTAGACTTGGGAGACACTTTTAAAGTGTCTGATTTTCAGAGGGTGGGAGCTCAGCATCAAATATTGGTCACTCCTTTACTTAGATCCCTTACACACTTATATATTAGTTTTAAAAAAAAGTTGTCAACACAGACAGAAATTTGATGCCCTTTTTCAGTTCTTAATATTTCCACAAATAGACACCAATTTTTATGAAACTATTCACAATTTAAAATTGTTCTATGGAGGTTTTATGTTAAGATCTAAACCTAACATTTATTTGCATACTATTACTTGGAATAGTCACGATTTGTAATTTGCTGTTTGCACCCACTGGGCGGATAAGTCACATGGTGTTGTTTCAGTTCCATTATTTGATGATTTCCAAACCCACAGAAAGCTTTCAAGATGGCTGCACAAGCACTTCTGTTGCAGATACTCATGATGATTATTCATATTTGCACAAATATTTGCAACACTATCCCTTTTCCGAAAATTTTTGAGAATAAAGTTTTATTCAAATAAACCTTTGTGAAAAGTGAATAAGAAGGGGTCATGAATATCAGCAAAACAAATTCACTGTTTTTCTTCAAATGAATGTTGTGCCCAGCTCTAAACAGGTTAAATCGTATACAACCATTTAAATATTTGTTCTTCATATATAATTTTGCATGTTTGGATATTCAAAAAGGAAAAGAATTTTGAAAACAAGTGCCACCAGATACTGCTCCACCCGCTGGCTTGATGAGAGGCACCACAAGTGGAAGAATAATATCCTCAAAGTTCAAAGAAAAAAGACTGAATCTATTTTGGACCCTATATTGTTTTGAATAACCATAAATAAAATTCAAGTTTACAACCATTAAATGCAACATAAGAAAGAGCTTTATCAATAGACGTTTTTGTAACTTGAGATATACATCTTCAAAAATATAAGAAACCTGAACTTACTGTGGCTGTGCCGGAGACAGTTTGTGCATTTGTGTCAGCTGCACTCTGTTCAGTGTGTGTCTGAGCAGGAGGGTACATGTTTAACGTGTGCTCTGGAACTGTGGTTTGGCCTGTGTAGTCTGGAGCTGGATGGGGGTGTGGGGCTGTATATTCTGCCGGGATCCCATTCTGTGGCGGAGCAAACTGAGCTGAGGCATAAGGCTGCGCCATTGTGTCAGGAGGTGCTGTAGCTTCCTGATTACCCTGTAAAGTAAAGGAAAAAAAGGCAGAGTCAGAAAAAATAATTTAGAAAGTAAAGAGGATATTCTCCAAGATTTCTAAATGGATGTTTGTTTCCCCTGGAGAGTGTATCCCATCTGATTTAATTCCCTCCTCTGCCACACCCTATTACAATCCTGCCTTTACAGAAGCACGTGTAGTTTTCTATGTGGGCCTTTTTAAAATTTGATTGTTAACACCAGGTAAGAATACATGAACTGAAACCCCTAGTGTATATGCAGTCAAAGGAACAGATACTTTAGCTAAAACATTAAATGTTGCCAATATGTTTTTACTAAAACCAGCAGTTAAGAAGGAAAAGTTATAGTAAATAATTCCACTAATTCCAAAAGTTACAAAACACTGATGGCATTGAAAGAGGCTCGGTATATTTATCACATAGTGCATTCTTTCTCATAGTTTTCTAGATTTCTGAAAAGATGCAGCCAACCTAAAATCCAAATGAGAGTTTGAAAATAGATGTACTAAAATGCTGCTCTCTCAGATGTTCATCACTCTTTTAATGTGTAATCTATTAAGTAAACATTCATCCTTTCAGCTGTAGAGCACAAATGCAACGTGATGATTAGATTCAAGCTTAGAATCACAAAATAAAAAATATGGGACTAGAAATACATCAGTTTAAAATCCATTTGAGAAAAAACATTAAAAATACTTTACCCTGTAATGTGTCAGAAAATTTAGATGAAAGAGCTTAAAATGCCTTATCATTTTGCTAGTAATAATTTAACATTTATGTGTTAAAAGAAACCTTTAAAATTAAAAGACCAAATGGAAGCGTCTATAATTTGTATAGACAATTAGATCTAGTTTTAGCTTTGATATAATTCTACTGTGGCAAGCAGATGCCAAAAATGCTAACGTATCACAGGTATTTAACATAAATGTCTGCAACATTCTCTGGCTAAATGGTCTGACCATAATGAATACATTATGACATTGAAAAAAATATCTTCTTACAAAACATGTTTGTGAATTTATTTAAGGTATGCCTAAATCATGATGCTACAGATAACAGTGTCAGGGGACACCAGTACCTCTGCAGTATCGCCAGAGAAAGGAATTGGGGATGGCTATACATATTCCAAAGCCTCGTCTCAATTTCAGGGACAGAACCAAAAAGTGTTGTTCTGAGTCCAACTAAATGTTTTGTTTAACCCCAAACAATGCCCCCATCCTTTCTTTTTTTATTCCATCTTGGGGTGATTTCTTTTACTCTTTTGATTTAGTATTTTAAATTAGCTCAATTGCTAAAGCAAAAACCATTTCAAAACAAAAAGTTGAAATATTTGGTTTCAAAATTAACTTTCAACTTTTTTTGCTTTTGCTTTTAAAATTTTGTTGCCTCAAAAAATGTATTTTCAGGCTAATTTACTGCTCATCGAAAAAATTTCACCCAGCTCCAAAAAAATGCCCACAGAACCTCTGTCAATGAGGTCCAAGGGGAAAAATTATTTCCTGATACCAAAAAAGTGATTGGTAAGGCCTGCAGCATCCTAAAAAGCCCAGCTCCTATGCTATAATTAAGAGGAGGGAAAGAGAACAGCTAACAGGTGCAAGAGGCATTTGAAAACCCTAGGAGAGTGTAAAAAAGTGGAGGAGGGGGCACGCCAATTGATTAGCTCCAACCCGCCAGGTCCTGCCAAAGAGAAGACAAAGGGACCCGCGGAAGGAAGGGACCAGCCCCTGACTTGCTCAGCATGAGCTCTGCCCCGTCAAGACACTGTGATGTCTGGTCAAGATCATCCTCATTCCCCACTGAATGTGCAAAAGTAGGGAGGGAAGGGAGGATTATGAAATATTCAGCCACATTCCACCAAACACGCTCACGCACTTGCACACGCATTTTTTGTTTTCATTAATCCTTGCACCTGCTGGCTTCAGCAAAGGCCATGGCTAATACTGAAATACAGAGGTAATATTGTGGAATTTCACATCTAGGAAGATTTCCAACCAGTTTCAGCTATTCAAATAAGCATCTAAATACAGAAGTGATTATTTGAACAGAACAGGAACTCAGAACCTTTGGGGATTCACTAACCTGTATATTACAACAGCCCTTGGTTACATATTACAGGAGAAAAAATGCATTTTTCCTAACTAAATGCCAATATGCTGTAGTGAATTAAGCATGGGACACTAGGAGTCTGAAACTCCTGAATGTGAATCCAATCTCTTCAACTAATTTAGTGTGTGTCCTTGGGCAAATCATTTATACTTTCTGCCTCACTTTATCATCTTTAAAATGGAAACAACAACATTTACATTCTACACTGTGTTGTGAGATTACTTCATGATTGTACTGTGCTTTGAAAGTGTAAAATAATGGTATTATTAGTATTACAAGTACAAGCCAAGATGAAAAGTTAAGTATTTTTACACTAAAACTTGCAACAATTTAAGTTTAAAACCTGGAAAAATACCTTGTACATTTGATTTAGCAGGAATATATCTACTTATTCAGGTTTTTTTAAATAAAATTGAAAACTCATTTTTTTATTTCTTTACCTAATACTCCCTAATTATTATGAAAAATATTGATTGTACATGGCCAAAATGCACACTAAAGAAAGTATGCACACTAAAACTGGGCAATGATTGGGTTCCTTCATGTGTCTTCACAGGTAATTAGCCATTAGTGTGAATATTTGTATTTGTTGAAAGTTCTATGTTTAAACTGTAAACATCAAATACTTTAGGACAGACTTGAGTGATAGGAACCAGGGAGCATGGCAGCAGCAGCAAAAAAAATTTCTTCTATCTACTAAATTACTTTGACTGTATTGCTTTGAAGCACAGTAGCTGGTCATTCCTGGTCCATAAGTTATTCCTTCATGTCAGTTGTTAGACATGGCATTACAGTCAGCAGATATTAAAAAAAGAACAATAATGGCAACAAAGGGACCAACAGCTAATGTTCAGATGCTTTTGATCTACTAAAGGTTTTTATACTACCTTGAGTTCTAAAACAGATGTTGCTGAGACCCCCACTGTTTCTCATTAACACTGACAGCAGTTCCATGAGACCCTAATTAATATCTGTACCATTCACACTTAGTGCTAATTACAGCTAATATTTAATTAAGAGCACTGAGCTTTTATATGATTTCTTACCAGCATCTTCAAACATTTCACTTCAGTACTGCCATAAAATGGCATACATACAATGAAACGTCAGGCACCTTAACACTGTTGAGAGTCTTCTAGCTCAGTCATTAGATTTGCTAAACTGAGGTTTTGATTCCCTTATTAAAGTGGCACCAGGAAAAAGTAAGGAAATAGTGAAGGGTCAGCATATAAATAAATAACCCCTATGTATTCAGGGAGAAGTGGAAACTTGGCATGCCAGGTATCAGCCCAGGTGTTATTCTTTCATTGAACTTATTTTTGTTTTAATTAAATATATATATAGTTGTCCACTGTAAGATAAAGAAATTATATGTGTGGGTGTGTATGTACATATACACATACTGTTGTAAGCCAGGAATTTATTATTATGAAGATCATGATAATAATGCTGAGATGTTCTGATTTTAAAAGCAGCTACTGCACATGCCACAAGTGCAGGTTTTTTAGTTTTAAAATTTAGTCTAAATAATCTCTACATTTTGGATCCATAATGAGCATATGCATATTCAAAGCACATAACATTACCATAATGCATTAGCATGTCCCATATGATTAAACATATTCTATAATATTAAGATACGTAACATACAAATTGGTTACTGTTTAAGACGTGAATTCATATTAAGTTTAACACAGTGGAAACTAACAGATCCCTACTTATACTGTTGTGAAATGTGAATGACAAATCTTGACTACACAAAACTGATCTAAATTTGAATGGGTCTTTGTGAATCTCAAGTTATCCTCTACCCCACGGCATTTTAACTGGGTATTTTAAAATGACATTTTAATGAGAGTATTGAAAACAAAATGAAACTGAAAAATGGAATCTACTAAGTTATTTTAAAGGTATGAAATGTTCCTTAAAGTGACAGGAAACTCCATTCTTAATTTAGACCATGAACTTAGGCACTGGAGCAGCCTCAAAACAGTGGGTGACAGTACACAGGCAATGTGGAACTCTAACTAGGCACAAGAGGGTAGACCGAAGTTATAGTTTCAGACTTAACTCTGAATCTCTTTACTTTTATATAAGTTTAAATGACCCCTTAATGTTCATTTTTGTGTGTGGTTTAATAAAGTAGTAGTTGGCAGCTGAAAGAAGAACAAAGGAAGGCAGACAGTCAGGCTCTGCTAAATGTTTTGGCCTGAAATCTAATGAAAACCACATTTCAGCTCCAAAATATGCTTTACGTGGCAGTGTATAAAATCCAGTTTATTGCTTTCTGCTTAAATGCTGAGCTATACCAGAACAAAAAAGTGCTTTAGTATGATATAGGCAAGTGAAGGCTTTCTAAAATCCCATAGATTATTATACTTAAAACAGAAAAGATCAGAATTTTAAAACATTCCTATTGAGTATCTCAAATCTCCACATTCTTTTTCAGCACTATCTCTTCTGCTCTGAAAGGCTTTTATAATTAAAAAATGCATGAAAAGTGTCAAAACATAATAAAGCAAGCTTGTCATGTTTATACACAAAAGACAGAGCAAAGAAAATATTACTTATTCCGTGTTCCTTTTTAAACACACATTCACAACATAAAACTGTATTTATTCACTAAAAACCTTTAAGGTTGCCCACATTTTAAAGTCTAACTAACGGTTTACTGTTTGTTTTATTCTATTTTAGTTTTATTGTGTTCTGTTTCTTTGGCAAGAGATATTTCACATTCAGAGAAAGCCTCTCATACTGTAGTTAAATGAGCCAAACTGCATCATATCCTCAGGGCATGGAAACAAAGAAGAAAAATGCAAAATTACTCTGTAAACCTGCTGGTTATAAGAACGGCTCAGTTAGACATATCAAGCACAGCAGACACACATAATCACTGCTGTAGCTCGCCTGGCAGAATGACTTAAGCAACAAAATATGTATTAGAGGAGGCTTGCATGCAGTGGTACAGTTGAATAAAAGAAATGCCCTTGCTTGACTAAAATCAGAGTTTCAAGTGAAAATAAAGTGAAAATACCTGCTGTACCATCCTGCTCTCTTTATCCTCCATAAACTTAGCAGCTGCTCTAGTCCCAGGCCATGCAGCATCTGCCCAAAGCAAGCATCAATTATGGATGAGGGCGTGTGAGCTATGTAATGTGTGTATGAGTGTGGATGATAGGGGTGTTGAAGGAGGGGGAGCTAATGCAAGCCTTACTGACCTCCCACTCAACATCTGACTGCTCCCAAAACCTAATCCAGATGGGACTCTTTCAGTTTGCTAGGCCTCGCCCCATCAATCACAGCAGGCCACTCCTCTGTCTCCTGCTACTAGTTATAGAGTGCACCACTGAGCAGATGATTACACACAGAAGAAGAAAAAACACAGCTTGACTACATTAATAGCTGTTTAAAAAACATTAGAAATGCTACTTTGTAAGTTGCCGTAAGCTGAATATTTTCATTTTTAAAATAAGATGATTGTATTCTAAGTTATGGAAAACCCTAAACCTCCTAAACCTGGTTTTTTGACAACTGCAGTTTACAGGAGAGAGAGAGAGAGAGTTTAATCTTTCCTACAATTTGAAAAGTTAACAGCAATAAAATTTGTGTTTTAAAGTTGCTTAATACTCGTAGCAAACTTAGGCAATAAAAAAATTGTCTATTTTACATTAAATTTACTTTACCCTTTCTTTATAATTGAAATTGTTTTGCCATCTTTATTTTGTGAAATCCCTCTTGCCCACCAAGGGAAATATTTCAGAAATGCTTCCAAGCTTTACTTTTGTGCAGCAGCTTAAGCAAGCTAATGCTTCACTATTAAAGGAACTTGTCTAGATACTCTAGAGGTAGTCTCAGAAATGATTAAATTTCTAATTAAAATCACATAACAGAGAAGAAGGCTAAGACAACACAAAGAGCCCCAAAGAATTCAACTTTACTGGCAATCTGTCATGGGCTGTCACCGGATTCAAGAAGTTAGAGGCAGGACTGAAATACAACAGGTGAGTTTTTATTTACAAGTGTCCCAAATTCCCAGAAAAAAAATCTGGATAAACCGTATTAACTGTATCGTTAAACTTACATTCCAACTCAAATACACTGGGTTTCTTTAACAATGCAGGATAATTCTTATAGATTTGCTGCTAGCACTTCCTAGTTAAGGATAATAAAAACAGCTGCTTCAGGTTTTTCCACAGGGAATCAGACATCCAGCCTCATTGGACGAATTGACTAACTCTGCAAGCTTTCTCTCTTGACATTTAATAATCTGACTGGGCTACTTGACTTGGACCATTTGACTTCTCAACCAAATTCAGACACAGAAAATTCTGTAATTTCCTCCCGTTCTTGGAAAGGTAACTACAAAGCCAGTTCTGCCTCATATTTCACTTAAAAACAAACTCTTTCCCAAGTAAGGGTGTTCCCAAAAGGAAAGAATGAAAGGGTAAAAAGAACAGTTTTTCTTGGACAGAATCAGAAAGAGAGAGAGAGAGAGAGAAAAGAAAAGAGCAGGGGGTAGCTCAGGGATTTGTATTATTTCCTTGGGTTATGGTAGGATTTCTTTTCTCCACCAAACAACCTCATGCACAAGAGACAAATATGTTCCCAGTGTCCTCTTCATATGCACCATATTGCACCCTGATAAAAGCCTGAATCCCAGCTATCAATATATGTCCAATTAGTAAATGAATTAGTGCCACTGCTCAGGACCATTTTATTAGCACAACCATCTTTTTTGTGTGTACTGGGTATGGCTATATGGCAATGGTCAACAGCAATTATTTTTCCAGGACGCAGTACCAGAGATTCAGTTGTTCTCTCCCTTGAGTGGCACCTTTATGTTACTGGTGATTTTGTATGTTTTTCTTTTAGATATGCTTTTCAGCTAAAAAGTATGGTATGTACCTCTCTCCAATTTGGCTATGTTAAACTCCATGACCCACCTCAATGTTAAGGGTGCTTGGGAAATCAGAGTGGAATAGAAATCTGAAGCATTATATAATCTCTGAAACTATATTTCATATACCCACCATGATGATGGTATCTCTTCAGTTCTTTCTTTTGCTATGTTAAGTGATCATCTGTCCATGGACACATGATACAAATAAAGCTCATCAAGTGAATTCTCTTTTCAAGTGATTTAGTAACCGAGCAATAAATGTAAACATATGGGGCCAGATCCCACAATGCTTCACTGGCACAAAGTGGCTGTGAAGTTGCCCTATATAGGAAGGCCAAAGAGTCCCTGGGTGTGGGGAGGGAGGGGCCATGTTCACAGAGTGTTGTGCTCTGGTGATTCCTAGCTGGCATTACCGCCCGTAGGGGCTATGCCAAACTAGCTCCGTTAGGGCAGTCCTGTGACTATTCTAAAGTTGTGCTGGCAGCCAAATCAGTCCCTGGCGGCACAATAAAATCAGGGGAGTACAACGGGTTTGTTGGCTACTTTTGCACCCTTTCCACCTCTCAGGTTTTGTATCAGAGCAAGTCCAGACCAGAGTAGTGGGTCCGCTGTATCTAGCTCCAGTCTTGCAACTCAGCTTATGTCTCCTTTTAACTTCTTCTGTTGGAAGGGCAAACCTCAGACTAGTGCTGCTGTACATTTTAGGTTTTAAACAGTACATTAATGTGGCATTTTTACGACTTGGCATTTTAGGGACAACAAAGACTTTGCTTCTACAGATAGTGGCTTCCTCTCTCACTCACCGACCACAAGGTTTTTTTTTGTTTGTTTGTTTTTACTTTTAAGCACAAATTCGGTGCATTTCAAAGCTGAAATTTTATCAATGTATTACTGTCAAACATACATTTTGGGGGGAAAAAACAGCTGCAAAGAAGTGCAGCATGTTCTGCTCTGCACTAATTCTGTCAGTGCTACATATCTCTGACATGGAATATCAGACATAAACACTCTCTTGCCTAGTGCAATGGGCTATTCCCTGAGAAACCTTTCAGGGAAATAAATAATTGTTTTCCAAAACAGAAAGAGTTTCTAAAAGCAATTTAAAGGGGAAAAGGGGACTAATAAAGAATTACAGTACAGAAGGATTTCTCAAAGGAATTTTCTCTTATATGATTGTCATAATTTATACATTAGCCTTCTGTAGCCTTCCATCCAAAAGATCTCAAAGTTTACAAACAGTAAATTAACCATCACAAAAGCCCCATGAAGTATAGACTGTGGCAAAGCCAGGAAGATAACCCAGATCTCTTGACCCTCAGTCATGGGGGGGCTTTTTAACCCACAAAACTACACTTCCACTTAACCATTATAGTGGTAGTTTCACCTCACTAAACAGACCCTCCCAAACTGTCTTTTTGATATATTTTGATATGTGGATAAAAAGGAATATTGGTGTTTACAAGTTTGAGATAATTGATTTAAAGAGGAGAACTAAAAGAAGAGGCTGGACATTTTTTTGCACAAAAGAAAACAGAGCCTATCATGTAAAAATTCATATCTGTACTGAGGTAAAGTTAAGGTAAATATGGTAAACATACATGCTTAATACTGACCTTATTCCGAATGTAAGTTCATTATATAGAACAGTACAACCACAAAATAAAGCAGATATTAGCAAAACCGCTTTGTCCCTATTCCTGCATCTTAGACCTCATTTACATAGTGAGGATCATGTTCCTTGGTCATAGCAGGGAATGAGCATGACAGGAGCTCTAGACTTACAACTACTCAGCATAAAAGGCTTCACATAGCACTTGCTGCGATTCACATCTGCATGCAGCCTCCATTCACAGATATGCTAGAGCACAGTGCACAGGGACCATGCAGTATCCATCCAGATCAAATGTGTGCTCTTGGCTAACATCACTTAGCTAAAGCAACCAGAATTTGTGCGTGAAACAAAACAAAGTGGGTTTTAAGTGGGAAGAATTTACCCTCTTTTCCTCAAGAAAAAAAAAATCATGCAGTTGCCACTCATGGTGGTAAAGGACCAATGGTTTGATCTAAGCACTGCATAATCTTGCTCAGAAAAGATTTGTCAGTGCCCTTCTCTCCTAACTTGTACAACCGCTGGCACTCTAATTTAATGGCCCTGTTAAAACATGCCAGGTTGTCCGACGGTTTTACGTGTGCAAGAGGAATTTTCAAGATCTGACCTACTTTTACTGCATAATCAGAGAACTACAATCCACAATGTAAATAATTTTAGTAAGCTTTATGTAACAGAAGTTACTTAATTTTTTGTCTTTAGCCCCTCTGGGCTTGTTTCCGTTGAGAGTAGAATTCCCACTGAAGTCAATGGCTTGAGCGGGGCTCAAGAGTAAACCCTTGAAATCAGGAAAAGATGCAAATGGTTCATCTGGGTAATTCATTTCTATAGCCACAATAATTGCCAGATATGTGGCGTCAACAAAGCAGAGTACCTTCAAAGTTAACTCACAATTTCCCATGATCTTTCAAGGTTCACATTATTTTTCATACCACATACAATTATTTTGCCCAGCAAGATCAGAATGGCAAGAAAAGGGACTAGCTACTCTATGAAGCCCACTTTCGGCCCTCAAGGAACTTCTCTCAATTATTTGAGATGGATTTGGCAGGCTACTTTAACACACTAAGTAGCGATTGCTTTTTTGCTTTTATCTACAATCACAGAGTCAAGAAACTGGCATCCTCTACACTGCATATGAGTCCACAGCTGTTCTATAAACTGAGAGCTGTAATGTGAACAGTGACATGTCTTACTCAATTATCTGCCACATTTACTCACTATATTTCTATAGGTGTAGAAAGGACACTTCATTTACCATAGTTACCCCACATAAAGAACTAGGATTTAGTTTTAATTCTCCTCTAATTTCCATCACATCTGTAAACCAACAGTTAACTGCATGTAAACTTTCTAGTTATGTCTGTATTCTGTTGCACTAAAGTTTCACACCTCCTGTACATTGCTATACTGAAAACGAGACACACATCTTAGAGTTGAATCACAGTAGATATAATACACTTTTGCTCATTTTATTCCTACACATGAGGTCTAAGACCCCAGTTATGCAAAGATTTACATATGTGTGTTATACAATGGGAGTAGTCCCACTAAAGTCAAACATGACTACTTAAGGTGAAGCATGTGGATAGGTCTTTGGAGGATTATGGCCTAACTGAGTCTCTGGGATGGCATGTCTAGCTCATTCACCTTACCGTTCAAGGATTGACATGTGCAATATTTACAAGGATCCAGGGCAGAGGGGAGAGACTAATTGGGTAAATAC